ATGCGCCCATGATCAAGACACACGTACACCCATAAATAAACTGCTAACTCTTACACTGAGAGTTACACAAAAACATGCTTATTTCATTCTCCAAATAATTACTCCATTCATTTATCATGAGTCTCTCTTTCTAAAGTTTCATATGCCAAAAAGAATAGTATGGGCTATGCTAAAAAAAGAAAAGAGAAAAGAAGAAAAGAAAAAAATATATATCTATGCCAAAAGGCATGAGAGAAAAAAATGCATGCCAAAGAAGCATGAAGAAAAGAAAAGAAAAAGAAAGAAAGAAATAAAGAAAGCCCATACTTTCAAGGCATTCATCCAAAAAGAGAGAGATTCATGATTAAAGGAGTACACAAAAAATTTAGAATTAGGAAGTTATAAAAATTCCACACACTTGCACATCTTGATCAAAGTGTATGACTTGCATCTCCTTGAGGTCCGGTTTTTGACTTAGCAAAATATGTGATGCAAGTATGCCTCAAATTTCGTACCTACCCATAACTCCACAAAAAGCCTTTAGTGGTAGGATGAAAAAGAAGGCAAAATATCAAATACCTTGGTGAGTTTTCATACACATTGAGCCATCGAGAGAATCATTTGAGGAACTTACTTTTATTTCGCAAAATTTATAAAACCTCCGGATAGACAGTTGATCAAAGAATGAATGATTGATGATTTTATTACAACCATTCTATCTTGCAACCACCCAAGAACTTGGAAGAGCTATACGCCCCACAGGGATCAAGGTAAAGGGTGGATAAAAATGCCAACTTATTTGAATTACGGAAGAATACTTTGTTATAGGCATGACACTTGTGAAATATATTCGGCATAGTAGCAACTCCTAATCAACAACCAAGTACTTAGCTATTTACTCGGGACGAGCAAAGGTTAAGCTTGGGGGATTTGTTGGCGGTCCTTAACGACCAAATCCGACCGCTAATTAATATCCAAAACGGGAGAAATAAACAAACTTTTGACACTTATGCCTTTACTATTAATCTAGTTCCACTTGTATTGGAAGAAATATGTTTTGCAGGACAAACAAGTGGAAAAGGCGCAATTCAGAAAGCGTAATGTAGAAATACGCAATGGAATAAAAGGAAAAAGCCCACCTACACATCAAAACTAGGCCGAGCACCACCGAGGAAGCAACCTAGGCCCAGCCAGCAGCCCACCAGAGCAAGGTGGTGCCCAACGGGGCCAGCCAGGGTGCGCCCACACCCCCACCACCACTTCTTAGGCCCACCTTGCTATGGCGGTTGCATAGCGGCATGCAAAGGCGGTCTACGGCGGTTTCCTATTTTATTAGCCCCTAAACCAACCACTAAGTAGTATAAATAGGGGCGTGGTGCTCTCATGTAACAAACACCTCATTGGGCTCTACACCTCCCACCTCCACTTGTACTCTTTTTACTTTTTAGTAGTATCATGTGAGCAAGGCAAAGCTATCAAGGAGAGCTTGGCTCCTTGGAAGAAAGGATCTTTGGTATGAATACTATAAAGAGTTCTTCCCAAGTCTTGCTCTCATTTTATCATAGTAGTGCATATGAACTAGACTATAGTTCTCATGTTATATTCTTGACATATGATGTAGCATATAGTTTGTGTGTTACGATCTTAACATTTGCAACTTTATGCTTAAACATTCATGTAACTTGTATGATTAGAAATAGAGCTAAGTTGAGGTGGTGGTTCATCGTTCCTTCAGGTTTGCCCATGTCCTATGCTTGTCGATTCGTAGGGTCGGAGTTCCGGGGGATGTGGGTAGTTTATTTGTACACGGGCGTGGTGCTCGGGTGCAAGGGAACCTTCGGATATGACGGTACCCCCTGGTTGAGGGGTAGGCGGCAGGTGGTGACAACCCTATCCGTCCCTTATAATCCCCCACGTTCGGGTATTGTGTAAGAGTCTTAAAGTCTCCCTGGCTTGCTGGCAGACCAGTGCTCGGAGATCTCCCCGTCCATCTTACACTTAGTTCTAACTCTAACCATGTAACTTGTATGATCATCAACTATTCTTTGCACGGCTATTTTAGAACATGCCTGCCCCACTTAGGAACATTCTTTTATTCTTTGTTTTTATTTTATCCTTGAGGTTGGCCCAAGTATGTGTCCACTATCCTGAATATACCATTTTTACCCATGTCATCAACTATTCGTTTATTACGCAAGTATGTAACCTTGTTCATATCCATGCTAGACTCTTATACCTTGCCCTCCTTTGGAAAAATATAAATAACGATACTTTGAATACTTCCGGGTCAAATGCTACAATGATAGATCCGTACGCTCGTGGATATTCTCTGTAATCGTTAAGAACTATCGTAGTTGGTGTTTCTTGGCGGTGTCGCTAAGGTTTACTAAATCTTAGTGATGGTGCTAAGAAATACTAACATGCATTTCTGGTGCCATTGCCAGGGATGAATTCCATCTCCAAACTTGGTAGTAACGTTAAGAAATGCCAACACGTATCTCTCGAGGATGCTTTGTTGCCAGCATCGTTTCGGTCTCTGGATACTTTGCCGTCGAGACCACGTACATGGTCCTTATGGCTGATACTTTGCCGCCATGGTTGTTTAGGGCTCGTGACCGGTGGATGCTTCGCCATGGTTGTTGTGGATGCCGGATGTAGTTGGACAACCGTACGTTGAAGTCTTCATTTTTTCTCAGGCTCTGTCTGCATGTTTGGGGTAGTTGCTGAGTGTCTCATCCCCTGCTTTTTCTTGTTGTTCTAACTGTTCCATGAGTTCAGTGGTAATCCCTGGATTACTGTTGACTCACTTGTACTCAAACTTCTACTTCTGTTTAATGAAATACATATTGATTAGGCACGCTTGCGAAAAAGAAGCGTGCCCCTAAAGGTATTTGCACAACAAAAGAGGTATATCGCTGCCTAAGTACTCGCTCCGCCCCTTTTATTTATAATTCTCGCTTCCCGAGAAGTCAAACGCCCTCAACTTTGATAAATATATACAAGAAAATATTAATATTTATAGTATATAATTAGTATAATTAGATAAATTATTGAATCTATTATTATAAAAAATTTATTTGATAATACAAATGCTGCTAATATTTTATATAAACCTAGTTAAACTTTAAAAAAATGACCAGCATAAATACCAAAGCGACGGATAAAAAGGCCAGAGGGAGTACACATTTGCAGGTCCATCTACCGTCGTAGGGATCATAGTGGAAGCACGACAGATCTTACACTGTGCTTAAAAACACAAAACGCTAGCACAACTGACCAAAGCGTTCACTTGGAGAATCATAAGCATTAGCACCTATGTGGGCAGCTAGAAAATGATGCACACCTGTTCTTCCACTACATTTTCACTAGAGCAGTGTGGTTTGCAGCCAACCCTCCTCTCTCCACTGCTTTTCTACCTCAAAGAATAGGATGGGGTTGCAGGACATCCTGGATTCTCTTCTTCACCTGCACACCACTGATGACCTTTTCCAATCTATTATAACCACTTTGTGGTATATTTGAAAGGCTAGAAATGATAAAAGATTCAACAATAAAACCTGGTCCACATGGCAGATACACAACGCTACAACTGCATATTCTCCCTTGTAAAAGCCATAGGCTCTACGAGCAGGAGCCCTATCCACGTCGCCTCCAATTGTAAGAGCCGTTCGATCTTCCATCCTCTGGCTACCGTTCTTTGGAGCCGCTTCTCGCCCTCAGCGGCTTCTCATCATTTCCTCTGCCAATCTTATAAAAAATGTAGATGGACAGGTACAGCGGCAGATTACAACGATGAAATGCCCTCAACTGCCCAGGGGCCAACTACAAATAAATATTGATATGCAAATTGGTACACTCACTTTAATTGCAGGTGAACCACGGCCGGCACTGCAACCACAGCAACTACAACAACATAGAAGAATGGATTCTGCGCATGCCAACATGCACAGCAACAAGATGACTAGAGACAACACCACACAACTGCAATTACAACCAATTCGATAGGGACGACCTCGGATCTACAAAGTCAATTTACCAACTTTACTACAGGGACCCAGATGCTTCATAGATGCACCTCTGGAACCAGATCCAACCACGACATGCAGAGAAGCAGAACGTGGAGTGATCATAATCAACTCCCAAGTCTATCCAACACAATCAATTCGCATCCGAACTGCCATCACCAGTGTATCATCAGCAATCATGCTGAGGCAAGCGGCAGTAGCCTTTGCAGCAAGATTTTCCACTCTGCTCAGCCTACATGATTCAGAATATCTGTCAGACGGTCAAGTACAGGTGAATTTCTTTGACGCCGCCAACTTAGCTTCACCAGACTGAAGAATAAAACCTTTCACATAAGATTTCATCGACTCAAGCAGAGAACCAATACAAGGTCTACAAGATTGACAGAGCTTTGAATATCTCAGCTCATTCTTGAGCTAGACAAGCAAAATCTTCTGTAGCCTCCATCCCACCCCAACCTTCTGTATCCTACACTCTGCTCATGCTCTCCAGTGCCCAGTAAAGGCAGCACTGATTACTGTAAATTGGATGATTTTCATGCTACTGTCCGTACTCTGCTCTTAAATGAAATGAAGTCTGTTATAAAAACAATACCATTGCCAATTACTTGAGCATGAAGATTCAGTGGATTATAGATTAGTAAGTCAAACTGTGGCACTGTCAAACTGCCACAATTACACAAATCTCACAATACACATAGTTCATTTAGCAACCCCCCTACTTCAACACTGGAAAAAGGAATCAAGCAGTAACTACTCAAAGGATGCGCATACACCTACCTCTCTTTCTTCACATTCAAAGGGATCGGTTTTAGACAAATCATGGGCATGATTAAGAGTCTTTTACTTGTATGCCATTAAAAAAGATGGTCTAATCGTCTATGTCCCTAAAAAGTTCGATCTATCGTCAGTGTCCAAGCTCGAAAAACTTGTCTCTCTAACGTCATTCTGTCTATTTGCAGCACTAACGGTGTGAAATGTGGGTGGCAAAGGACTTGAATGCCCCTGGAACTTTTGTTTCTCATGTGCCACTGCCTGCTAGGCGGCACCGTCCTGGACCTGTCCATCAACGGCCTCACCGGCCACATCCTGGCGTCGCTCGGGAACCTGACGTCGCTGCAGGAGCTTCAGCTCAGCGTGAACAAGGTGTCCAGCCCGATCCCGGCCGAGCTCGCGCGCTGCACCAACCTCACCGACCTCGAGCTCGACAACCAGATATCCCTGATGTGCCGACTGTTGCCTGAGCCTGACGCAGCTCAGTTTGTGCTGTGCTGTACCAAGACATGATTAATCGGCAATAATGAGTAGGAGTAAGTAACATATGCATGCATAGCGTTAAACCGAAAAATCATCAATCTCTCTATATATATTTCTTGCCGGCCATCGGATGCCCTGATGAGTCGGCGATCAGTTGTAACTGTAGTGAACCAAACGTTCAGGCTGGAGTGTATTTCTTGGAAGACGGACGTAGGCAGCCCTAGGGAGATAGTGCGCTTGCATTTTTATTCTACGTTAGGCGGGTGCGGGTTGTCCGTCAACAGCGAGGTGTCTATAAAAGCCAACCACGGTATGGCACCACCCCGAAGCTGTACACGTCGCTCTTCGTCGTGATCTTGGTCATGCACCCGTACTCTGCGCGCGGGAGGCCAGGGAGGGAGGGAGGGACCAACACAACCGTCAGCTTCTTGTACTAAGTTGTAACGAACGACCGGGATTGCATTGCAGTACTATAAGGGAGGGGGGGAGGCAGCCGGCTTACCGGGAGTGATGTACCCATACGACCCGGCGAACGACAGGGGCGACGAGTTGGCGCCGTCCTCGGCGACCCTGGCGAAGCCAAAGTCGGCGAGGCACGCCTCGTACCGCTCGCCGAGGAGGATGTTGTCGGCCTTGACGCGTTGCGGGGAGGTTCGCCGCACGCAATCGTGGTGCAGGGTCGCGAGGCCCTCGCCCGCGCCGACGGCGATTGATACCGCACCTCCTCCCACCACCACAGCACCGCCGGTGGATCCGCCGGTCTTCGCAATGTGCCGCCGAGGGTGCCGTTCGGGAGGTAGTCGTAGAGGAGGCGCGCCCAATGGTTGGCGGCCCACCCGAGGAGTCGCCGACGATGTTGAGGTGGCGCACCGGGCAGCACGCCGACCTCCGCGACGCGAACACCTCGGCGGACGCCTCGTCGCACGATCGAAACCTCTTCACGGCGATGGCGCGCCCGTGGGCAACGCGCACGCTTCGCGCGGTACACCGACCGACCACCAGCCACGACCGATGACGTTCGCGGGCGTCAAGCTGCTTGCGCGCCACGCCGCCCACGCTGATCTCCAGCTTCTAGTACAGCGTCCACGTCCCACGGCGGCAACATCTCGGCGTCCTTGCCGTTGCGTCGGAGCGTACGCCGAACAACACCGACGAGGAACGTCTGCGCGGCGGCAGACGAGGAGGAACGCCGCGGGCGGCGAGGAGGGCGACGAGCGCGACACCAGACGGCGGTGGCGACGCAGCGCGCGCGCCAAGGCTGGCATGGCGTCGCCGGGCACCGCGAGAGGCACAGGCCTTGGTTGCCCTCCACGCCGCTCGTCCGGCGGCTTCGCGAAGAACGCGCAGCGCGCGCGCGCGGGCGGTGAAGTCGTTGAAGGAGACGTTGAGGGCCACGAGGTTCGGGGCGCGGACGGGCCGGAGATCACCGGAGAGCTGGTTGTGCGACACGTCGAGCACGCCAAAGCCGCATGAGGCCACCGAACTCCTTGGGTATCGCGCCAGACAAGCCGTTGCAGCTCAGATTGAGAGCAATCTCCAGCTCCCTGTGAGTTGATTGGCCCAGAGGTTGAGCATGCGCAGCGCCGTGAGCTTACCGATCTCAGTGGGGATGGCGCCGGATATCTGGTTGTTGTCGAGCTCGAGGTCGGTGAGGTTGGTGCAGCGCGCGAGCTCGGCCGGGATCAGGCCGGACACCTTGTTCACGCTGAGCTGAAGCTCCTGCAGCGACGTCAGGTTCTCGAGCAACGCCGGGATGTGGCCGGTGAGGCCATTGATGGACAGGTCCAGGACGGTGCTGCCCAGCAGACAGTGGCACATGAGAAACAAAAGTTCCAGAGACATTCAACTCTTTTGCCACCCACATTCCACACCGTTAGTGCTGCAAATAGACAGAATGACGTGAGAGAGAAAAGTTTTCGAGCTTGGACACTGACGATAGATCGAACTTTTTAGGGACATAGACGATTAGACCATCTTTTTTAATGGCATATAAGTAAAAGACTCCATGATTAATATTGCATAAAGTCGTGCTCACATCTTTTAGTAGTAAAATAAAACCGAGCACATCTTGAAGCCCTTTTCTCCATCTGGAGCAGCTGATGCTGCTCTGCAAGAAATCTATCAGTCTCATCGTAGCTTTGACACTCAAATGTCATTGGCTCCAGAATATTTGCGTTCAGTACAAAGAATGATGCAAAGTTAACTTGTGACTTTATGCCTCGATAATTATGCAACACGACTGTCTTGAGACGGATGTCAAGGCATTTGACAAGATTACGGTGTTTATGGCGTCATAAATTCTTGTCTCCCCCATGGTACGACTGAAAAGGAAAGAAAACAGTATACAAACACAAGCAATTCAAGAAGAATTGACAGAATATTAAACCAGATCCAAAGAGTATATGAACACAATGAATTTACTAGTTTAGTATGTTTACCTGGATATACAACTTCTCCAAGCATGGGAAGCATCTCATTAAGTCAATAATCACATCCAGCCTAAGATAAAAAATATAGACTGCTAAAATCTTGACAGTACATGCCGGCGTTGTCGAGTTAATGACCCGGAATTCCTTTATGTAGCATGGCTGCGTGAAAATGCGTCAGCGCATTTATAAAATTCGATATTTTCAGAAAAAAATTCTGCACACAAAAAAGCAGCTCAGAACCTGTAGGCAATAGGTAGGAAACCAAGGGGTACCTCAATAATCGTAGAGCCCAATGTGAGTCTGGAAGAGTAATCAGAATACTATAGGCAACCCAAGGTCTCTAGATTGGGTGCTGAAATAACTGACACTTGCAGTCGCATGGGCAATTGTGGTGGTCGATGATACAGAATCCTTTTAAGGCAAGGGGCATCCTCGATGATGAATTCTTCTAAGAATGTCACTGTTGGTTCATACCCAGCATTAGCACCCACCCCAATGCTTGTAAGGCTAGCTGAGTTGATCCTGACACAGCGGAAGCCAAAGATGGTGCTAAGCAGCAAGCACTCGAGGACGGGAGAAGCAGCAATGATGCTATGCAGGGAATCCTCCGAAATGCTGACCCATTGAAGTGCGAGCTTCTTGAGCTTGGGCAACTGAAGCGCCTAGGCGACGTCGTCAGAGAGGTGGCACTGGCTGAGAGTGGCCACGCAAAGGCACGACGAGAACCGGAAGGTAGACGCCGGCTGAGGTGGTGCTTGCAACACATCCGGTGCATATATGTCGATGCAGCAATCAATCTCCTGGAGGTTGTCGAGGGCGGGGATTCTGAGCCAAGCATCCACAATGGCGGGGTAGTACTGCAGGTGTTGTGCGGGGAAGCGAAAGCGGCGGCCGGCGCCCCGGTGGGCGGAGAGGATGCGGGAGACGACATCGATGGTGCGAAGGTCACGGTCAGAGAATAACTTTTGGACATTCAGACTGAGGCTTTGCACGACTTGATTCCAGTGCCCATTTATATTTTTCTCCAATGCAGGGAAGATGATAGGCAGGATCACCTTACTGTTTTGCTTTACGAAATTCTCGAAGTGAGTATTGTTCCAGAAAAACAATACTCTCTCAGCAACCTAAATAAGCACATTACCATAGATTAATACACAAGCAATTACCAGAACAGAACAAAAAGACAATGTTAAAAAGTAGTATTGGGTATCAAGATCAGGCCCCATTTTCCCTTTTATTGTGCAAGTACACAAATAAAATTTTAGCAATCAGAACGTATAATATAGACAGCAACCTTGAAATAAATCAAGCCTCCAAATGTATATATATTACCAAAACTGGAGGGACCAATCCATATACAAGTACACAGTTCAGTTAACAGGAGCCATTCAAATGTGGTTATACATGGTTTTCTAAAAAGTATTCCCAGCCCATTGTTGTTCTCCCATCTCACAGATAAAATCTCAAATATCAAGCATTACCTCAGAAATTTTACAATTTCTGATCTAACAAAATTAAGTATATTTTTTGAAGCATGCCATTGTAGAGTCAAATATAAGTTCAAGGAAAAGACCCAAGAATGCTTAGCAATGCAGTAATTATTTTTATTCCCTCCATGCCAGAGCCAAATATAAGTCCATTAGGACATCGACATTGTCTCCAATATCTCCAATACTATACTTTGACTAATAATATTTATAAGAATATTGGCTTAATAAGAAAGAGTAATATATTATGAAATTATGTTCCATGATGAATATAGTAGCACAACCTCATGTTATCAATCTATATAACTTTTTAATCATTAATGGTCAAACCTAAAAAAAGTTAGAACAAACTAAATGGACTTATATACTTCGGATCACAGGAGGTAGTAAAAAAGATAGGTGCCGGTTCATAAATCCGGAGTCCCTCATGGACCTGCTTCCCAGCAAAAGCTCGGCCCAGCAGACGACGTTGCGAACGACGCGCAACTCCTAGGCCGGCCCAAAAACCTAACGACAGGCCAGGGGAGATCCAGTCTCCGACCGGAAGGCCTGGCCAAGGAGGACCAACGCTCGCCTCCTACTCCGGCCCGCCTCTCCGACTTGAAGGCCTGGCCAGCTCGCCTCCGACTCCAGCCTGCCTCTCCGACCGGAAGGCCTGGCCAAGGAGGAACGGCGCTCGCTTCCGTCGCCTCCGACTCCGGCCCGCCTCTCCGACCGGAAGGCCTGGCCGAGAAGGGACGACGCTCGCCTCCGACTGCGGCCCGCCTCTCCGACTGGAAGGCCTGGCCAGCTCGCCTCCGACTCCGGCGCTCGCTTCCGACTCCAGCCCGCCTCTCCGACCGGAAGGCCTAGCCAAGCAGGAACGGCGTTGGCTTCCGTCGCTTCTGACTCTGGCCCGCCTCTCCGACCGGAAGGCCTGGCCGATAAGAGACGACGCTCGCCTCCGACTCCGACTCGCTTCTCCGACCGGGAGTACACCGAACCTCGGCTTACAGCTCTTCTCCGGCCGGGAGGCCGGAGCTGACTGGGCACCGACCGACCGGGGACGCCCGCTCGGTAAGGACCCAGGAAACGGACAGAGCAAGTAAGGCAGGGTGCTCCAATCAACCGCAATACCAAGGACCGTACCCTGCACACCTGCAGGACAATACTGTCAGGTCATGTCAGAATGGTACTTTATAACCTTACAGACATGTCAGAACACCAACAGTGTTGTGGGCGTCGACATTTGACCTACAGTATGGTAGGCGCCGACATTTGCCATACTGGAAGAATACGGAGGAACCAACCACGTGCATCCAGCCATCAATAGTATTGTGGGCGCTGACAAACCGCCTGCAGAGCCGAAGGAGTGGATGATGACCACTTCATCATTCAGTACCTCCCCATCTGCGTGCAGGAACATGTTCGAGCGTGGCTCGAATTGTTCCCGCACGACAGCATCCGCGACTGGGCGGACCTCAAGAGGATCTTCGTCGGGAATTTCCACGGGACGTATGTCCGCCCGGGAAACTCCTGGGACCTCAAGAGCTGCCAGCAGGAGCCCAACATGTCCCTGCGGGATTACATCCGTAGGTTCTCCAAACGATGCAACTCCCTCCCTGATGTCGTCGACACAGACGTCATCAGCGCGTTCCTCTCCGGGACAACCTGAGTCTTTGATTCACAAGCTTAGCTGTCTGAACCCCCGGACCACCCGCGACCTGCTCGACGTCGCCACGAACCACGCCTCCGGCGAGGAAGCGGTCGGAGCGGTCTTTAACGGAGGCCGAGATAAGGGCAAGGCCAAGCGCGAGGATCAAGACGAGGGCCCCTCCACACAGAGGGGCAAAAAGAACAAGAAGGATCGGCGCCGACTGGCCAACTCCACGTTGGTCGCCGCGGCCGATCGCGCGGGCAAGCAGCCCCAGCAGGGCCAGCCCAATCACTTCGACAAGCTCATGGATAGTCCATGCACCAACCACGCCTACCCCGTCAAGCACCTCTACAAGGACTGCGAGCTCCTCAAGCGCTTCCTGCGATAGGCCGGAGGGCCGAAAGAAGGAAAGGGCAAGGAGGCAGCAGCCAAGAAAGGAGGCCCGGCGGGCAAGGATGGGGACGGCTTTCCCGACCCCGAGGAATGCATCATGATCTTCGGGGGATCCGATGCTGTCTACTCCAAGCGCCAGCACAAAGTGCGCTACAGAGAGGCATGCGTCGCCGAGACGGCCATCCCCACCTTCCTTCGCTGGTCGGAATCTCCGATCACCTTTGACCAGAGGGATCATCCCTCCCACGTCGCCAGACCGGGTCGCTACCCGCTCATCGTCGACCTCATCGTCCGCAAGAAGCGCCTCACCAAGGTGCTGATGGACAGAGGCAGCGGCCTCAACATCCTCTACGTCGACGCCCTCGACGTCATGCGCATCCCCCGGTCGGAGCTGCGCCTGGCGAGCTCTCCCTTCCACGACGTGATCCCGAGGACGCAGGCGTACCCGCTCGGGCAGATCGACCTGCCCGTCACGTTTGGCGCCCGAGCCAACTTCCGCTCGGAGGTGCTTACCTTCGAGGTGGTGGACTTCCCGGGGTCTTACCACGCCATCTTGGGGCGGCCATGCTACGCCAAGTTCATGGCGGTCCCCAACTACACCTACCTGAAGTTGAAGATACCGGGACCGAACGGCGTCATCACTGTGGGTAGCACCTTTTCGCACGCCTACACGTGCGACCGCGAGCATTACGAGCTCGCCACTGCCGTCATCAACTCGTCCGAGCTCCAGCGGCTCAGGGAGTTGTCGACCCCAGCAGTCCCGGACTGCAACAAACCGACCTCCTCGACAGCCTTCCGCCCACTCGAGGAAACTAAAGCGGTGGGAATCGACCCCACTAACCCTACAAAGACGGTGCGGATCGGGACCCAGCTCTCGACCAAATAGGAATGCGAGCTCGCCGACTTTCTGCGCGCCAATCGCGATGTCTTCGCATGGAAACCTTCCGACATGCCAGGCATACCGCGGGAGGTCGCCGAGCATGCGCTACGCCTCGTCCCAGACTCGAAGCCTGCCAAGCAACGCCTGCGTCGCTTTGACGACGAGAGGCGCAAGGCCATAGGCGAGGAGGTCGCCACAACTCCTAGCAGCCAGATTCATCAAAGAGGTATACCACTCCGACTGGCTTGCCAATCCTGTTCTTGTTAAAAAGAAGACCGAGAAATGGAGAATGTGCGTTGATTATACTGGCCTCAAAAAGGCGTGTCCGAAGGACCATTTTCCTTTAACACGCATAGACCGGATAGTCGACTCCACCTCAGAATGTGAAGTCCTCTCCTTTCTAGATGCCTACTCAGGTTATCACCAGATCGCGATAAAAGAATCCGACCAGCTCCGACCAGGAAGGCGAGTCGTGCGTCCCTCCGCCGAGCGAGGCAGGGAGCCCGGTCTCCCACCCCTCTTCCGCCGCAGCCGGTGCAGGAGGGATCGCGAGGGTCACCTCCGACCCGGCCTCCGCCGTCGCCACCGGGATCGCCGCCAACACCATCGCTGCCGCTGCCGCCATACTTACGACCGACCGGGAGGGCGTAACCCCTGGAGGGGAAGGTCGCACCGCCGCCACCCTGCTCTCCCCGCCGCTCGTCGCGACGCGCTGCAAGGTGGGCCTCCATTCCTCCCGCACGGGAGGCGGGGCGATGCTCAACCCCGTCAATATCTGGCCGCTGTCAAACAAGTACGGGCCAGTCACGCTTAAAAAACTCAAACTATGAGATAAAAAGAAACAAAGAGTACATACCGGGACGCAAGCGGCAGGGCTCTAAAGCCCCGACCCGCCGGCAACGGGCCCGCCGGACGAGGGCCACTCGCAGGTCACGAGCCACACCCCCTCACCTCGACCGGAGGGGAGTCGACCCGGCCGGCTCCCGATCGGCCCGCATGAGTCACCCATGATCGCCGGCTCGAGCGCGCCAATGACCGAGCAACCGGCGGCGTCCCTCCGTTGGGGTCGCAAGGCGCCGCCTAAAAAGATGCGCGGTGCGAGCCGCCTCCTCCAACCGCTTGCTCGACCTTGGCCGCCGGGCGTGTGGGAACAAGGCCAGCGACGCCTCCTCAAGGCGCGCGGCGACAACATCCGCTTCGCCTCCGCTTCGCCACAGCAGCGTCCGAGGTTCATGCGCTTCCTTGGCGCGCGAAACGCCGCCAAGGCTCTCCGCCTCCCACGCACCGCCGGCGGACGCAGCCGCAGGCTCGCGGCGCACCACCGAGGTCGCGACGACCTCCTGGCCTCCCTCATCCTCGGAGGAGATCACGTCGTCACCCATCTCCGTGGGGTCCTCCGACTCGAGCTCCGCATCGACGTCGCTCCGACTCGCCGTCCCGCACGCGCGGGCGATATCCTGCTCCTTCTGGTGCCTCCTCCGAGCCTTCTCAGCTCTCTTCTTCCTGCCGTCCGCCACCTTCTTCAGGGCCACATGCCGAGCCACGCCCTCCGGCCCCTTCGGAAGGTGCGGCCGGGATTTATAACTGGTGAGTCCCTGCGAAACGGACGACTTGAAGTAAAATTACAAGAGAGCGAGATCGAAAGGGACACGGAATAAGGAAAGGAGAACGTACCAGATTGGGCAGCTTCCCGGCATGTAGAGGTCCGCGCTTTCCTTCAAGGGTCTCCCGGGCGTTCAGTTGCAGCACCCGGTCGAGTCGGCTCCAGACTTCGTCCTTCGCCAACTCCACCGGCGACACGCGGTCGGGGTCCGTCGGACCGGAGTACTA